GACATAGCAGTACAAAGTAGTGGGAATCTAGTTTATGTTGACCCCGATGCAAGAACTGTAAACATAGTGAAGAATAAACAGATACAGGAAGTGATCAGATTATTGAGGTGGAGACCTTACAATGTCTGTAGTACCTCCTCTGGTGACCTCCTGGTTACCATGTACAATGGTGATAATGAACATTCAAAAGTTGTCCGTTACTCTGGCTCCAAAGAGAAGCAAACCATTCAGTTTGATAGTGAAGGCAAACCTCTGTATTCATCTGGTTACATTACATACATCAGTGAGAACAGGAACTTAGATATCTGTGTGTCTGATGATGGAGCACATGCAGTAGTTGTGGTCAATAAGGCAGGAGAACTCCGATTTAAATACACTGGCAATCCCTCTACTACCAAGAAATTATTCTATCAGTTCTTTTATAACCAGAGTTCATTTAATCCAGTCGGCATCACAACAGACAGCCAGAGTCAGATCCTGATATCCGACAGTAACAACAACTGTATCCACATCCTAGATCAGGATGGACAGTTCCTCCATAACATTGATAATTGTGATTTACGGCGTCCATGGGGTTTATGTGTAGACACAAAAGAAAACCTCTTTGTAGCTGAGTTATACAGTGGTAAAGTGAAGAAAATTAAATACATGTAAACAAACTATGCTGAAATTTAAATCTCATGATTATTTGAATGTCTACAAATTATTTAGAGCAATAACATGCATTTCCTGTAAATGACTATCTCTAAAAAATAATAGTTTTGCAAAAGATAGTCTACAGCAAATAAAGATGCCTCTGTATTAAAGATCGTACGAATCACAATAAAATTCATACGAAGCATGCCTATTATAGTGTATGGTATATGATACATAATTCTATTTATTGCTGCCTGTTGCAAAGTTTCAAATCCAAGTGTCAATTTTACTTCATTATACAGATCCGTAGAGCTAATAACAGTTTCATTTGAGATGTCTGGGTAAGAAACATCATTATCTTAAACCTCGTATAAATAAATGATTTTCAAACAAGATAGTTTTAAATTTGTCTTTTTGCATCCTGTTGCATATTTGCAAGATTTTAGCATGTTTTATCTGTGTAATTTATTGTACTCCTTTGACACTTTAATCTAAAGAGAAAGAGAAATGAAAGAAAAAGTGAGCAAGTTCACATACCCCACGCTCCCCCAGAAGTCAAAATGCTGAAAATCCCGGAAAAGAATCAGAATTTCCCGATTATATGCACATCTACGCATCATTTACTAATTATCTGCTAAGTGACGAAATTCTGTGCAGCGGTTTAAGAGGAGCTGCGCTGACAAACTGTTCATCTCTATATTCAGAGTATGGCCAAAAAAGTTTTTATTGTAGAATTTCTTGGAAAAAATAAAGGAATTGGAATTTCCTGGTAATATACACATTTACACACTGTGTCCTAGATATCTGCTGAGTTGGATGAAATTCTGTGTAGCGGTATAAGAGGAGTTGTGCTGACAAACTGTTCATCTCTATATTCAAGGTATGGCCAAAATATAAGCTGAAAAGTGTGGAAATTCCCGGGAAAAATAAAGGAATCGGAATTTCCAGGTAATATGCATATCTACATATGATTTCCTAAATATATGCTAAGTTTGACGAAATTCTGTGCAGCAGTTTAAGAGGAGTTGCGCTGACAAACTGCTCATCTCTATATTCAAGGTATGGCCAAAATATAAGTTGAAAAGTGTGGAAATTCCCGGGAAAAATAAGGAATCGGAATTTTCTAGTAATATGCACATCCACATATTGTGTCCTAAATATCTGCAATGTTTAATGAAATTCTGTGCAGCAGTTTAAGAGGATTTGCGCTGACAAACTCTTCATCTCTATAATCAAGGTATGGCCAAAAATCTAAGTTAAAAAGTGCAGAAAAAAAAATAAAGGAATTGGAATTTCTTGGTAATTTGCACATCTACACATTGTGTCCTAAATATCTGCTATGTTTGATGAAATTCTGTGCAGCGGTTTAAGAGGAGTTTCGCTGACAAAAAATGGGACTGACACCACTCTGACTGACGGACGCACGGGTCAAATACATTATACCTCACGCAACTTGTTAAGTGGGGTATTAAAAACGATGTCCATTCAGCAAAAACAGTTCTGTACTTGAATACTATATTAAGTGAATATAGACCCTGTCAAAAAGAATTTACAGTTGAATAAATTTCTAACACAAGAAACTGATGATTTGTTTTCTGATTAAAATTTTTAAGCCATGATCACATTATGATATCAATAATGATATCTATATATACTCGGTAGCGTACACATGTACAGGTAAAGCTGCATTCTATTGACCGTGGAGTGTGAAAGTGAAACTAACCCTGCAAATAAATTCTTTCATTTATTTACAAGAAATTGAAATGACTTTATCCCTTCCTTGCTTTCCCCCTCTCAGTCACTTTGTTTTTTCTCTTTTTGGCTTTCCCTGTCTCGATGACTCTCTCTCTCTCTCTCTCTCTCTCTCTCTCTCTCTCTCTCTCTCTCTCTCTCTCTCTCCATATTTTTTTTACCAAAAGTCAGTACATATACACTAACACTGTACCTATTTTTATCGTAATACATGCGATTTTAAAAAGTTAGACATAAAACGCAATTATATTAGTAATCCTACATTTCTGTGTGTATATATTTAGTTTTACACTAATTACAAATCGATTTTTTAAATTTTTTATCTGTTTATTTTAACAAAGTTAATATAGCCTGCTTTTAGAAAAGAATGTTTAAAATTGTTAAGGTTCAGTCTCGGAAATAATGGGGGTATGGATTTTTTAAACTGATCAATTTATACACGAGTTTTATGAGTATTTACACACTGCAGTTGCTCAGCCAAACTGTTATAGAAGTATCAGCACCGTAACATTGTAGTGCATGAATATGCATGTGCATAATTGTAATGCCGGTAAGTTTTGAGCCTTTTTTACATCACATAAATTCCTCTCAATATGTGACACTACTTCATTTCACACAGATTTAGAATGCCCATTATAGTTCTTATTGTAAGCTTCAATTCAATGTTAAATATTACGCTCTTTTTATCCAATATTTCACTCGGAATGAAAAAAAAAATCATCAAGGATCATATACGTGTCAAACAAAAATAAGAAGCAAAAATTATTAAAATTAATTTTCAATTTACATAATAAGTCTCTTTGAGAAGGAATGACTTTATCTGCTTTAAAATTGTATGGTTTTTATGTAGTATAGCAGGGTACTAATTTTTTAATTTAAAATACCATAACACAACTAACTAATAAAAAAAACTGCACTGACAGGAGCAATAACATCCACCATAATATTCCACATACAGGAATCCTTGAAATGTTTGTTTTACAGATTTACAGTAAACCAACTATTTACTTTCATTCGCGATTCGTCAGTTTGAAATCAATCTGCAACAATTATTTTTTATGAATAAGGAAATGTTTTCTTCTAAAACAAAGCAAAATAAATAGTTCGCAACTGAAAGTAGGTTGTGAAACAACTCACGAATATATTTTGCACGCGAATAAAAGATGGTTTACAGTATTAATTTGCATATTGGGAAGAGATAAATCACGACCATGAGCAATGCTTTAGAATTTTTTTTTTTTTTTTTAATTCATTTTTTTTTTTTTTTTTTTGATTTTTTAAATTTTTTTTTATTTTTTTTTTGTTTCTTTGCAGTAATATGTTTAATACCAGAAACGTTGAATCTATTAAAAGGCTAATGTATGCTGAAGAAAAAGATTATGTAAACATACTAGGGCTGGGCAATAATATCGATATTTCAATATATTGCAATACAATGACAAAAAATATCGTATCGCAATACGATTTTGTAATATCGATGTATTGGCATTATGCTTAGATTAAGGAATTTTGTCATTAAATATAAAAATGGACTTATGAAAGTTTGTTATTAAGCCAAACAGTAAGTCAGAAGTTGTTTTGTGGGAACATTTCAGAGCATAACTAAATGAAATCAACAAGATTTTTTTTTTCGCGTTTGTTACTTATCATAGTTATGTACATTCTGCATGAAAATTATAGTAAATATAGTAAGAAAATGCCGTTTTTGTTGCATTGAAAATATTGCAATACATATCGCAATACAGTTAAAAATATCGCAATATATCGCAATACGAAATCTCGGCCCAATACCCAGCCCTAAAACATACATTTATCCCATGTACAACTTGGCAAATATCAAAATCAACATATATAGAGATAACATAATTTTTAAAGGCTATAACAGAAATGAAGGATATGGATCGATATAACGAACAGTATTTAATATCAAAGTCCATAAAACAATAGGAAATAGGAAAAGAGCAAACATTGACCTCCAAAACATCGAATGCACAGTTTAGATACAGATTCCATGTTACGCATCAAATCAAGTTCAATCCTAAAAAAACAATCTTTTTCAAAAATGATTCCTTGAAAAAAATTGTCTTGACATTTGCAATTAAAGTAAAAGAGAATTAAATATCTGCTAGACTATCTTTTCAACATGCTGATACAATAACCAGAAAGATGTTTGTCTTTAATTTATGCATAAGATTATCACGAAAGCCAATCCATTATGCTACAAAAAAGTTTACTTCAGGTCAACAACTGAGCTTAATATATTACATGTACATGTATTTACCTACTCCAGCATGCTAGAGGTTCACGGCGAGATACTTTTGACTTGGCGCCGCGTAACCTCTAGCATCCATTGTAAAAATTCTCGCCGCTGAAAGCCGAAGTGGAAATAAATGATTAAATCAAAAAACAATGCTTTGTATATTAACGAATGGTACGAAATAATAAAATACTCAATATTTACGATAAAACCGATGCATAAAACACTGTTAACCTCTCGTATTAGCAATAAATCCATCATTTTTTAAATCGAAGCAGAAATTGAAACAAGTCGTCTGTTTTAAATTCGTAAATGGAATGCAGAAATTCTGACGAATCTAAACTACTTTAATCAAAATTTCGTTTTCTGACAAGCAATTCGCAAAATTAATGTGAAGTCAAATCGAAAGTACTTCTGGTGACAAATTGGAAAAATGTTAATTATCCTTAATTAACAATAATGCACACTAGATAAAATGGATTTTATGATTTCTTGCGACTTTCATACCCCATGCAAACACGTAAGTACCTGAAAATTTCTTGTAAACAGGTTATTTCACGCATAAGGCGGAACGAGCTCGTTAGAAAATGGCCTTCGGATGTAAGAGTCCGAGGTATATAACGAGCGTAGGCACGTTAACCGAGGCTCTTACTATTTACCTATACACACTATCAAACTTTAATTAAGACATACAACAACATATAAACAGATAAAATGTAAAATTAAGCCAATTTAATATCAAAGTTTATGTAAGCTTGGTTCGGGAACATACTAAAGACCTGATATTTTGACCTGATGAAAAAAGCATATAAAACTAGGGCTAATTGTAACGGGAACCGTTACAGATGTTCCCCAAACGCTCCCCAGCTCCCTTTTGTGCCATATTCCCTGTAAGCTTCATTAAATAAGACAAACGCGTTACATTTAGGATTTTAACAAAGTTTTCCCAGAAGTAATCAATTTCAGCATTGCACGCATGCGCATTTGAATGCATGTGCATAATTATCATATCATCTTGTCTACACTATTCATATATTTTAATATACTAAATATACTAAATATTACAGCATTTAATCGAAAAAAATGTTTAATCTAGTGTATTTGTAATTTTACTCCTTTCACGTGCACGCACGTGCATGCATGTGCATCATGATCAAACCCTTTTGTAGGAGTCTATAATGTCTATTTATGTTTTGAATCCCATCCTGTTTGGTTGAAAACCAATGGAGTAATAGCCATTTAAAGTTTCAACCAATCAGATTGCAGTGCACGTGCATGTGCGTGATTTGATGAAAATTATTATATATCATATTGTAGGATATCCTAAAGCATGCCTATGTTTAAAATTTCAAAGCATTTCGTCAAAAACAAAAAAGATATTGAGAATTTTGTTTCAGCCAATCAGAGCGAAGCGCACGTTCATGCACGTGCAAGCATGTTCATGATGACCACACCTTCTTCCAGGAGTCTGTTATGTCTGTCTATGTTCTAAATCCCATGCTGTTTGGTTGAAAAACAAGGGAGTTATAGCCATTTAAAGTTTCAGCCAATCAGATTGCAGCGCACGTGCATGCGCGTGATTTGATGACAATTGCTATATATCATATTGTAGGACATCCTAAAGTATGCCTAAGTTTTAAATTTCATAGCATTTCATCAGAAAACAGAAAAGATATTGAGATTTTTGTTTCAGCCAATCAGAGCGAAGCGCACGTGCATGCGCGTGAGTTCGTGCTAATTTGACAGTGTCACATTATCTTCACTATTAATATATCTTTATATAATAAGTTTCAAATCATTTCATTAAAAAATGTAAAAGTTATACTAATATTAAGTAAATCAGTCATTTCATTCATATCACGCGCACGCACGTGCATGCGTATGCGCGCAAAATGACCTTTGTTCCGCACACCTACACTACACACCTATTAACCCTAAAAAGGTTTTAGCTTAGTTGGGTGAACAGTTTCTGAGAACACTCGCGGACAAAAAAAGTCCGGAGAAGAAATAAGAAGAAAAAAGAATAATAACTAGTGTTAATAGTAACGGGGACCGTTACAGATGTTCCCCAAACGCTCCCCAACTCCCAAATAGGACAAAATCTATGCATAAATTTGAGACTTTAACAACGCCAAGTTCATTCAAATTTTAGCATTGCACGCGTGCACATGTGAATGCATGTGCGTAATGACCATATCATCTTGTCTACACAATCTATACATTTTAATATACTAAACATTAAAGTATTTAATCCAAAAGTATTTAAAAATACGCTCATTCAAGTGCATTTTTGATTTAACTCATTTCACGTGCACGCACGTGTATACATGAGCATAGTGTCCATATCTTCTTGTAGACGTCCATTACATCTCTCTATGTTCTAAATCCCACTCCGTTTGGTTGAAAACCAAAGCAGTTATAGCTGTTTGAAGTTTCAGCCAATCAGATTACAGCGCAAGTACACGCACGTGTATGCATATGCATGGCGACCATATCATGTTGTAGAAGTTCACTATATCTATCTATGTTCCAAATCCCATCCTGTTTGGTTGAAAACCAAGGGAGTTATAGCTATTTAAAGTTTAAGCCAATCAGATTGCAGCGCACGTGCATGCACGTGATTTTATGATATATGCTATATATCATGTTGTAGGATATATTGATGCATGGCTATGTTCAAAATTTCATAGGATTTCGTCGAAAAACAAGAAAGATATAGAGACTTTAGTTTCAGCCAATCAGAGCAAAGCGCACGTGCATGCGCGTGGGATCTTGCTATTTTGACCATGTCATCATGTCTATACTACTAATAAATAATCAAATTATGAGTTTCAAAGCATTTCATCCAGAAATAAAAAAGTTACGGTTATATCTATTATATTGGTCAATTCACGTGTTGCACGCGCACGCTCTTGCAAGCACGTGCACGCAAAATGAACTTGATTCCACAAATCTACATAACATGTCTACTGACCCTAAAAAGGTTTTACCTACATCAGCTGAACAGTTTACAAGATCACTCCCGGACAAAAAAGTACCCAGGAAGAAGAAGAAGAATAATAATAATAAGAAACAGAGTAAAAACAATATGTTCCCCAACTTCGTTTGGGGAACATAATTATCAATTTAAAGAGAATTTTTCAAATATAAGTTTGATAATTATTGATGAAATTATACTAAATTCCACTTTTTAGGGGATAACACTGACTTTGTATCAAGGAGTACTTACAAAAGGTTGATGACCTGATATTATTGAATGACCTGATATTTATAGTGAAGACCTGATATTTGTATAAATGACTTGTAAGGGATGGTTTTAAATGACCTGATATATTAAATAATTCTTTTAGAATTAGATTAAACATTTTAAAAGTTTTTGAGAAAAATTGCAGCAATTACGAAAAAAAGGATTTTGAAATGATCTGATGATTTCCTACTAAAGACCTGATATTTTTGGATGACCTGATATTTCTGAATGACTTGATGGGTTTAAATGACCTGATTTATAAAATTATGTTACATATTTTCGGGAAAATAAAACAGTTTTCAATGTATAACTGTATAAAATATGAATATTTGCAGCGATTCCATTTTATTTAAGAATATCGATCAGGTCTTTAAAGTAGAAATATCAGGTCATTCAAAATTATCAGGTCATCAATATTTGTGAATATACCTTGATATATTATACAGTTATTGACTGGGTATGAGGGCAACATATGATTTGTTGGACCTGAAGGTGAAAATGTTGCCCGAGGCCGCAGGCCAAGGGCAACATTTTCATCTTCAGGTCCAACAAATCATATGTTGCCCGAATTCCAGTCTATAACTGTTTTGTTATACCCTTCACTGCTCACTTAAGATTGATCAATTTTATCAATACACGCTATACTATCAATTATTTTATATGGAAAATTATGGTTTCTTCAGGAAACATCAGCTGAGAAAGAACAAAATCAATTATAAATCTATCATATCACAAAAAAATATTCACAAAACATACTCTTCCCTTCTACCTTACCTTGCTGTTAGCAGCAACTCTTAATAGCTCTTTAACTTCGGCTATTTTCGCGTCGCCGATATTGAACGATGATTATTAATTGTGACGTAACAGACGAGTGACGTTGCGGTCTAATAATTCTTATGTAGGACCGGTCAATAGTGATTGTTAGACCAATGTAAAAAACATTTCTTTTGTTGGACTTTTTATTAGTAATAAATATATAGAATGATATTTATAAGGGTATAACAAAGCAAAATAATCTACATATTATCTACTAAAAATGTATTTTAATATAGTTCCAGCTTTTATCATCAATAATTTCTCCTCAAAAATATGAAATTGAAAGTTTAAATTGTATTTTTTAATTTCATCAGGTCAAAATATCAGGTCTTTAGTATATCAGGTCTTTAGTATGTTCCCTTGGTTTGAGTTGTTTTTCCCAATGATAAAATAAAATCATATGACTAATTTTATCTCCACTAATCAGATGAATCTTTGCAGACATAGCCTCATGTACATGCAGTCACATGCAGATACCAAAGAAATAGCAGGTAAAATCACATTTTGTTCTTCTTTTCTTTCTACCAAATCTTATACAGTGCATTTTTTAAATTGTATTTTATAATGATAAGTATTAAATTTTGCAGCAATAAAAACACTCTGATAAAATGGACCCCAGACTTTCTGCCCAAGACGTCATTAGATGTACTGTATGTAAAGATAAAATTGTACAAATGTACTGTAACTTGTGCCATATGAATCTTTGTAAGGATTGTGTTGGAGAACACATCTCTGATGTCTCAAAGAAGCATGATGTGGTGCCTTTTGAATTAAGAAGATCCAAACTTGTGTACCCTCAGTGCAAAACCCATTCTGAAGAGAACTGTGAAATGCTATGTGAAGATTGCAACATTCCAGCATGTCCAAAATGTGGTACATCTAGTACACATAAGAGACATCGTTTCAAAAGTCTTAAAGATCTCATGAACTCTAAGAAAGAGAGCATTGAACAGGAAAGAAAAAGACTGAAAGAAACAGATTTCTCAAAATTTGAAGATATTGTAACTGACATAGAAACTCAGCTAGCTGAAATGGATGGAAAATACCAGAAAATGACATCAGAGGTCACGAAACATGGAAAAGAATGGCTCAGAGAAGTTGGCAAAGTTATTGAGAAAAACAAAGAAGAAATCGAAAAGATGAGAAATCAACACAGAGATGCACTAAATAAACATCTCAATGATATAAAGAAACTTGTTGATGATATCAAACAGTCTATATCAGAAACTGAAGTAACCAGATCACTTTCTTATGAGATAAATTCTGAAAAATTCACCAAACTTCCATCCAAACTGATAGTGAAGTCTCCTGTGTTTACAGCATATAATAATCAAGATCAATGTTCTCAATTATTTGGTTCTTTATCATCATTATCCATTATAATAGAAGAAAATGGCTACACAATGGAGACACCTGAGACTGTGTCCTGTCCTCCAGTCAAACAACTGCTTGATGAACCAAAGCTCATCACCACCATAGACACTGGGTTTAAATATTCACTATACAGTGTTACCTGTCTCAGTGATGAAGAAATCTGGACACGTGGAGGAGACAAAATCATGAAACTCTACAACCTCCAGGGCAAACTACTGAAAACAAGCCAAACTAAGTCTGGGAACAGACCACGTGACATAGCAGTGACATGGAGTGGAGATTTAGTTTATATTGACCCTGATAAAAGAACTGTAAACCTAGTGAGAATGACCAGATACAGGAAGTGATCAGACTACAGGGGTGGAAACCTGACAATGTCTGTAGTACCTCCTCCGGTGACCTCCTGGTTACCATGCACAGTGATGATGGAAAACAAACCAAAGTTGTCCGTTACTCTGGCTCCACAGAGAAACAAACCATTCAGTTTGATAGTGAAGGTAATCACTTGTATTCATCCGGTATTACATTCATTAAATACATCAGTGAGAACAGGAACTTGGATATCTGTGTGGCTGATAGGGAAGCCCGAGCAGTAGTGGTGATAAATCAGGCAGGAAATCTCCGATTTAGATACACTGGTCATCCATCAACTACCAAGGGGTCAAATTATTATTTTTTCTTTAGTAAGAAGGAATCATTTGATCCAATCGGCATCACAACAGACAATCAGAGTCAGATTCTGACAGCAGACCCTAATAACCACTGTATCCACATCCTAGATCAGGACGGACAGTTCCTCCATTACTTTGATAACTGTGATCTACGGGATCCAAATGCTTTATGTGTAGACACCAAAGATAACCTTTTTGTGGCTGAGTGTGAAAGTGGTAGAGTGAAAAAAATAAAATATATGTAAACAATATGTGATGAAAATTTATTATCACTGAGATAAAAGCGCTGGTTAGATGAGAATATAATTAATATTATAATCTTTACTATTTGCAACTTTACATCGAATGTGACAGATTTGTATTATGATAATTATTAAAATCTCCAAGACATACATGTACTTGTATGATGTTAAACACTATAAAAAAAATTTTAAAATGCATTCCGATATAATTAATAATCAGGATATTGTTTTGCATCTACATTCAATTTGATATCAATAAAGTTAATTGAGATTTCCTTCAAGAATTAGATTGTTATGATAGAACAATGGCTGTTCCAAAGGTCTACAAGCAAATTCAAACTGTGGGTGAAATGTCTTTTTTAAGGCATATTGTGTCAAATATGAACGCCTTTACATATAAGGGGTGTTAAGAAAGTTCGTTTCATGATGAAATATTTTCAAAAATTTCAAAGTAGTGCTTAATTAAAGAGATGAATTTTCAAGTCTGACGAAATCACAAGAGTGTGCTTTAGATTTATAGCAATTCATTTCTAGGATGAAGTTTTCTTCCATATGAAAATATATGTCACATCTTTAAAGCACTCTAATGATAGAAATGCTTGTCATTTTGAGTGAAAATAAAGGATTATTCATTTTTGTTACTCCATTTCTTATTTTGCATCAGACAAGCTAATGAGCATAGGTATAAGAACGATAGATCACTTTTCAATAGAATAGGCTTGTCATGTTAATTTTTGCTTTACCGAATTGATAATTTTTGCATAGTAGTTGGAAAAATGTTTTGACCTGTGTGCTTAATATATGTCACAAATATACGTCAGGCATAATTTTTCTGAACAGACATCGTCAAGTGGGGATCAGGGTTAGAATAGGTCCTCAGTACCCCATTGCTTGTTGTAAAAGGCAACTAAATTGGGCGGTCCTTCGGATGAGACAGTATAAACAGATGCCCCATGTCACAGCAGGTGTGGCACGATAAAGATCCCTCCCTGCTCAAAGGCCGTAAGTGCTGAGCATAGGCCTAAATTTGCAGCCCTTCACCGGCAATGGTGACGTCTCCATATCAGTGAAATATTCTGGAGAGGGACGTTAAACAGTATACAATCAATCAATCAATCTGAACAGACATCACCTGTTTTAATACCTGTCCTCCCCTTATTGATTCAACAAAACATAGTTAAAACCTTATCAGTAGCAAGAATGAGGTCCGTAAATATGAAATATCACAAATTTTAAATATCTTCTCAACAATTTCTTTTCGAAAATAAAAGGATATGTGGAATAAACTTTCTTAACACCCTTTATATATATATATATATATATATATATATATATATATCATTCAGAAGTAATCACCTACGTTGATTTCTTTTTTAATTAATAGGTCAATCGTCAAGGTCAAGGGTTCAGAAAGCCTGAGTTGCTCGTTATTTTGTTTCTACAGGAAATGCACATGTCAAATAAGAAATCCCTATCTCTTCTCAATCAAAGGTAATATGGAAAAATTTACATTTTTGAAAATTAGGTCAAACTTCAAAGTCTAGGTCATACATACATAAAAATTCAAGTGTATTTAGAATGGTCTTATCACAGTTAATATACATTTAGATATGAAAGCCCTTTCGCTTCTCATTAATAAGTTATGGTCAATATCAAGTTTTTAATTTGTTTGAAAATACATGTAGTTCAAACTTCACAAGGTCAAGGGGGTCAAAATCATAGTATATTTACACAGGTCTTGCACAGGCAATACAACTGTCTAAGTGAATGCCCTATCTATTTTCATTCAAAAGTTATGACAAAGTAAACGTTTTTTGAAAAATAAGTCAAAATTCAAGTTCAAGGTCACGAGGTATAACAAGAGGTCCAGGAGCCAAATCGCCCACCATAGAATATCGGCTAGGAAACGCACAAATCAGATCAGAATTGAAAGTTAACTGAGCACAGGAAGAAACTTGTACTTTCAGTTAAAACTGAAAGGCGGCTTCCAGTGACTTTTAGTGGCCATTCAGCCACTGAATGGCATACACATTTCAGTGACTTCTCAGTTGCCTTTCACTCACATTTCAGATACCTTTCATTCACCATTCAGCAAACACATTTCCGTCAACTTTCAGTGACCTTTCCGCCACCTTTCAGTGATGTTTTTTAGCCAGTTTAGCGAATTTTTTTTCACTATCTTACTAGTTCATTATAAGATATTTTTCCTTAGGAATATTTTGAATGAATTCATTAACTATGTTTTTCCTTATGATGATAAATTTAAGGTACCTTATACTGGAAATCACAGTTTTTAGTTTCATTGTCTTTAAAATGTTTAGTGGGGGAGGGGGTATTTATTTTAAAAACTTTATAAACTTGTATATGACCTCATTCTAACAAGAAAAAAGAATAAATTATTTTTAAGGGTAATTTAAGTACTGCTCTCATCCAGATTCATTACTGCAATGCAGAGGAATTTCTCAGCCGGAGTTAGCTATATCAAAAGAGTGCTTGAAGTGCTTGACAATTACACTCATGGGAGAACATAGATATTTGTTTTATATTGCTGCCAGGTATATATGCTTTAAAATATTTTTTTTTTTTTATTTAACACTTTTTAATAAGGATAGTTCAATACTCTTACGTTTTTTAGGATAAGCTAATGAATTGTAAAAAGACGCATTTTTTTTATTAAAATAGGTCCCAACAACTAACCTTTCACCTAAGATGTATAAACTGGCCAAGTTTGATAATTCTAAGTCTAATACTTTTCTTGTTATGGACCGAATAGGATTTTTCCATAATTGGCTATAACTTTTTAATTATAGGTTAGAGTGACCTCCTTTTTGTGCATGACACACACTTACCAAGATGTATCAGTTGACAAAGTTTGATAACTCTGGGCCTTATAGAATTAAAGTTATGAGCCAGACATGAGAAAAGCTAACAGATGAATGGACAGATGGATGGAAATGAAGCCTATAACATAATACGTCCAATCTTAAGATTAACGTATAAAAAGACGTTAATAGTAGTCTAATAACCAAGCCCTATGATAAATGTGATGAATTTAACTTTTCTATCATCAATTTCCCTTACTTATACAGCAATATACATTCATCATCTGCATACTGAGTTTATATATTTCAGTTGATTCGATGTGCAAGAGCATGCTCTAGGTATAAACAATTTCTAAAACAAGGTAAATTATTGACAAATTGATAAAACAAGAATATCAGCATTTAAAGTCATCATTTCGTACGTTTTAAGGTCACAATAACGAACTTGTCAGCAAATACAATTTATCATTGAGTCAAATGCTGACTGATATTTTTCATATTAATTGTTAGTCCATCATTTATACACTTTATTGATGACTAACAATGGGGAACCGGAGTCGGTTATCTTATCTTGTATCGGTAGGGGGCGCCACAGGAAAATGCGGTCCATTACAAAAGTGATAAAACCTGTGAAGATGGATAATCAGCATCCATTCTCGAATACGATATCGGAAAGCACACACGTTTCAGTTACAATCCTTAATTTACTATGGCATCTAATTGTGGTGATATGACTATACCTGAACTTAAGAACGAGTTAGAAAAGTTTGGAGCAAAGAAATCAGGAAGGAAGTGGGAACTTGTGGAGAGGTAAATAAACATACGATGTTTTCATGCAAATCCAAGTAAACATTATTAATAACACAGTAAATAATTATCAATGGTGTGTAAAAGATTAACATTAAGTCAAATTGACAGTAAATATCAGAATTACCTCGTTTAAGAAACTAATTCTTAAATAATCTGCAACTTTAGCGTGTTAGATTTTTAACTTGAATTTCCTCGGTAATTCTAACATCGATCTCATATTGCTTGGTGCTTGCAGTAAAATAAGAATACTTCTCTACATTTTTATTATGAAGCAGTATTATTATTTCCTGATTGTTGCAGCTATGTTTCACTCAAAATATACATGAAAAAGAATTAAATATGCTTATTTTATTGCAGACTTGAAGCCTACAGAAGAAATGCACATTGTGCTAAGACCGATGTTTATGGACCTGAATTTATGATGATGACGCCAGATCCACAACTCTACAAGGACCTTCATGGTGACAAGACCTTTCCAGGTTGCACAGAGGCAGAAATTTCCACTTTCTTGTCGAAGTTTAATAAGACAACTGATAAGAAAGGAAGGGATATGTACAACGATGGGTTTATCCAGTATGTGAGGGTGACATTTCATGATTCAAATTGGTTCGTTAGAAGTAGTGTAAAAGCTTCAATGATGAAGTCTGTGAAATATGTTGTTGACATTATGATAGGAAAAGACAGAAGTGTTATAGAGTCTCAATGTGAATGTGCGGCAGGCATGGGACCCGATGCACATTGCAAGCATGTCTGTGCTGTACTTTTTTCATGTGCAGATTTTGTTAAGCATGGGACATACAAAACAGAACTCACCTGCACACAGAGGTTACAAACTTTTCATCGTGCTAAGCCCCATAAAGGAAGCCCTATGAAAGCAAGACAGTTGGACATGCCAGGCTGTGACGAAGTATGCAATAATGACTATGACCCTCGTCCAGTTGAATTTAGAGGCAATCCCGGATACCAGTCTTACTTTAGAAATGTGTGCTTGAATTACCCAGGTATTAGTAAGACTCCAATTTTTCAGCTGTATGAGCCTGTAAACATGAAAGCTTACAACCTGGACCATGACTATCTAAAAGACACGTTTAGTGAAAATCATTTGAAACTTTTAAATGTATCAGAAATTTCAGAGGAGAATGCACGTCAAGTTATGATAAAAACAGCTACACAAGCGGCCAACGACCTTTGGTTTGAGGAACGTTGCAAACCTCTTCATTCTTCGGTATTCGGGAGAATATGTAAAGCAACTGATCGAACTGATAAGGTGAAACTTGCTGACTTTTTAACAACAAAGGCACAAAAAATTAATGCTAAACCTATTCTTCATGGAAGAAAATACGAAAAAGAAGCTGTGAAGAAGTACCAGGAAATTTCGGGACGCACAGTTTACAATAGTGGAATTTGTGTCAGTCTGGACTCCCCTCATTTAGCAGCAACCCCAGATGGTATTATTGACGATGACACCTTGATTGAAGTTAAGTGTCCATATGTGGCAAGAAACAGTTTTATTTCCTCAAAAACAGTTCCTTATATCAAGCAGTCTGGAAGTAAATTTTATTTGAATAAAACCCATGACTATTACTATCAGGTCCAAGGACAACTTTACTGTGCAGAGAAAAATGAGTGTATATTTGTTGTGTATACTTTCAATGACTTTTTGTTCTTTGCAATAGAAAGGGATGATAAATTTATTGATGAGATGAAGAAAAAATTGAATGAATTCTATGAAGATTTTTTTAAGTCTGCTCTATTGGAAAAAACTTTTTTCAAGACATATGATGGAAAATGTAGTTGCAATAAAGAAAAATGAAATAAAGACTTTTTTCTCTTATTATGTCATTTTTAATACCAAGTTATGCATAAGATGGCACTATGCAATTCTTAAAATTACACAACATGAAACAAACATAGATTATTTCTGAAGAAAGTTTTGTTTCAGAACTATTCATAGGCTCAGTCAGAATTTTGAATGTTTTTGCAAGTCCAATGATCCTCTCAATGTGCACACGTTTGCTGGATATTTTTCGGTCCTCAATCACAGTAGCACATGACATTCTGTTTTTCTTTTTGAAAAATGTTGGTGTATTTATTTGAATGTTCCTGTGTACAAACATATCCTGCACATTGAAACCTTTGTCCGCCATTATTGAATCTCCAGAATTGCACATTTCTAACAGCCTACTTCTTTCAACTATTTGACGGTCACTTGTGGATCCCCCATAAGCTGTAGAAATATAAGATGTTAATCCACCTGGTGTCGCTCCTACAAGAACTTTTACCGTGTTACGGTTTTTATAGGTAGAATACGTTGCTTGCTGTGGCTTTGGTAACTTTGGTCTTTTAATTGGACACTCTGTGCCATCTATTATCACTCTAGTATTTGGAAATTTTGTTTTAAAATCTGATGGACAGTAATATTTTACAAGATACTTTGTAGGCCAAATGTCGATTTCCTGCCATTGCTTACTCATGAATAAAATCCATGTAAAAAATATATTTGATACAGTCTTTTCGGAAACTCCAAATAATCTTGAAAGTTCAAAATTGGTCGTATGGCGCCGTAACTTGCAGAGGACTAAGAAAAATTGGTCAGGAACACTTATGTTTGAAACCTTATGATAAATATAATTCAAACAGTGAGCTGCGGGTCCTAAGGTTCTTAAAACAAAATAAAATTTAGTTAGAGTTTCCAATCCAGTATAGAAATTTACTCCGGCATCATCATTTGTAAAGTTTTCAATACTCATTGGGGGATACCGAGGAGTTTGTGTCTGTACATCAAAAAATTTAACGTCAGATTTCTGAACAGTGACTTGAATTTCTTCAGCCAAAATTTGGGTAGAGTTAGATACAATTTCCTCGGATACTTGCAGATCATCAGCTGATGTATAGATGAATTCATCTATGGAAGACGAAGCAGAAAATTCTTCTGCTAGTTTTCGTTTGATGCCTCTGGACTTGGCTCTGTCGGCTCGTTCATGTGAATGTGGACTTGGCTCTACCCAGGGAAAAATGCTTGGCACTGCAGTTTTCTTCAATCTTTTACTTAAAGGAGTAGTTCCTAAGAATTAAATTATTTAATATATCAATACTTGTTCATAGTACTAGATTATTTATTAAATAATTAATTTATAATTTGAACTAACTTTTTAAAGCAAATAAAACAAATATAAATTTACTAAAATATTTTTATTATTACAAGTATTATTGTTATAAAATTGATGTTACAAAACATGCCCATGTGTTTATTAATTCAACTAAACAGGTCAAATTTGTTTTTAAGCAGGGTGCTAATTAGACATCAATGTCAAAACACAGTATCTTGTACTGGTAGATATGCATAAATTATCAGGCAACAGCATGTGTTCTTTTAGACATGCCTTGTGTTTATATTGTTAAAAGATAATGCGTTTGTAATAAATGACCAGTAATTGAAGTTGTCAGTGGGGAGTCTGCATGTGGCAGTGTCTGTAACGTTATCAGATTACTTCGTATGAGAGGTAAACAAGGGATTCGATATTTTAGTGCATTTCATCTAAGCAAATAAGGCATAAACATTGCTCAGAATAAAATCTATTAACATTACTTTGCACATGCTTATCAAAGATTTCAAAATAAATAAATAAATATTGTTACCATGCTGGGTTTCAGTCAAATAGTCGTCTGATTTAAAATGTGCTCTGCAAACAACAGCATGAGTTGACGGAGTCCAGCTTTGAAAACGAGTTTCACCACGTTTTATTGCGTGTATCCATGCTTTTCTTCTTAACGGATCTGTTGGAAATATATGGCCACCCCGATTACTACAATTCGGCACACAACAACAAGTTTCAGGCATGTTTTACGAGCATGTGTTTGACAGCAGATTGTTTACGTTTTTCTTCGATCGGTAACTACTGATAAGGCGCGAGGGTGTTCCGATACAGGACCGTGTTTGCCTGTGGCGCCCTCTAAAGAAAAGATAATCGGAGCAGGTTCCTAATTATTTCCCTATAATGAAAATAAGCACAAAGCGGGTGTGACCGGTCAGTAGTGGATGCTCACTCCTCCATTGCACCTGATCCCACCCCAACAAAAATACTATAGTAAACTATAGTTAATAATAGCCAATCAAAATGAATTAACTTAGTCAATTATAGTACTATACAGTGTATGCATATATGTAAATGTAGAGAAAATTTCTTTTTCTTTTTTTCATTTTTGGCATTTTTTAGCCCTAAAATCTTTAATTAAGACTCATGTACTAAAAATATCTTTAGCAGAATTACCCAACCGAGTTAAAGGGAACTCTTTTATTAGATACACATGATGTAACTTCCTGGTTGGTGTGTACCTGGCTGTTTAAATCAATACGTGAAACCCATAATTGTATTTCCTGGTAGGTAAGTTTATACTGTTACATGTAGTTTTTCTTTCTTAAAAGCGACATAAAGGTTTTTTTCTTATCTCAAATTTTTGGGGTAATAATCTTAATTTTCTCTTCCGTGAATTTTCTGTTGAGAGTTTAATTAAGGTCTTCCGTCTTCACGGAAGACCTTATAGTTATTGCTCTGTTTCCTATTATTATTATTATTATTAAGGTCTTCCGTCTTCACGGAAGACCTTATAGTTATTGCTCTGTTTCTTATTATTATTATTATTATTATTTTTCTGACACGATTTCTCGACAACTACTGGATAGAATTACATGAAATTTTCAGGAAAGATGTGTTGTAAGATACTCTTGAAAGTTTCAAGACAGTTTTTGGAAATTCCTCTCTGGTGCCAAGTTTTGGACCATTTTCCTGATTTTAAAACGCCATTTTGTCCACGATTAAACTCAAAAACGGTAAAAGATATCAATGTGAAACTTTCAGAGTTTATAGATGATGATCAATACTTTCCAGGACGCAACTTTTCGTTCGTCGTCAGTACTTCCTGTTGCTACCGGAAGCCAATTCAAAAAGTCCAAATTTTCAACTTTCTTTGTTTTTCAATATTTTTCATTTATTTTTGGAATATTAATAGAGGCACTTCTATTGATGCTTACTATATAAGTTGTTTTAATATTGGTTAATCTGAACTCTAGATATTAATATTTGAAAATCTGAAGCGGGCCCAAGATGGCGGCTGTCTCTGTCAACTCCGACATTTCGAGAGTAGGGGCTTATGGAGGCAGCTGAGCGTTTGATTAAACCATTCTGACATAAGGATACATGAAATGCAAAAAACTACTTGGACTCTCACGTAGTAGTACGTTGCAATTCAGTGTAAATCTTAAAAAACTTAATTTACGTTTCACTGCTTTAGTGTTGCTGGGCTACATACGATATGTAATGTGTACAATGTGTTAAATACTTTCCTAACGCCGAAATAAAGTAAAGGTGATAAGAATGTTTTATTTAATTAATTTCATTGAAGCTATTGCACCTCTTTAATTGATCAGTACAAAGAAAAGGTGCGAATATTTACGCGTGGCGTAATTATGAATAGTGGCCCGCCTTTTATGATTCTTAGACAGGTGTACTGTTGCAAAAGTATACACAAGTATATTTAAAGCAGTATTCCCAATAGCTAAATGGTTCGCGCATTGGGGAGAAAAGAGAAAAAAAAAAGGCGCATTCACGTTGGCGACCTGGATTCACTCCTCCTTGTGATCAAAATTTTGAATCACTTTTTAGTTCGATTTTACAAGTTTTTTATCCCTGAATCGGACGGAAGACCTCTCGTTCTTCAACGAGATCGTTCTAGTTATTATTATTATTTTTCTGACACGATTTCTCGACAACTACTGGATAGAATTACATGAAATTTTCAGGAAAGATGTGTTGTAAGATACTCTTGAAAGTTCCAAGACAGTTTTTGGAAATTCCTCTCTGGTGCCAAGTTTTGGACCATTTTCCTGATTTTAAAATGACATTTTGTCCACGATTAAACTCAAAAACGGTAAAAGATATCAATGTGAAACTTTCAGAGTTTATAGATGATGATCAATACTTTCCAGGACGTAACTTTTCGTTCGTCGTCAGTACTTCCTGTCGCTACCGGAAGCCGATTCAAAAAGTTCAAATTTTCAACTTTCTTTGTTTTTCAATATTTTTTATTTATTTTTGGAATTTTAATAGAGACACTTCTATTGATGCTTACTATATAAGTTGTTTTAATATTGGTTAATCTGAACTCTAGATATTAATATTTGAAAATCTGAAGCGGGCCCAAGATGGTGGCTGTCTCTGTCAACTCCGCCATTTCGCGAGTAGGGGCTTATGGGGGCAGCTGAGCGTTTGATTAAACCATTCTGACATAAGGATATATGAAATGCAAAAAACTACTTGGACTCTCACGTAGTAGTACGTCGCAATTCAGTGTCAATCTTAAAAAAACTTAATTTACGTTTCACTGCTTTAGTGTTACTGGGCTAGATACGATATTTAATGTGTTCAATGTGTTAAATATACTTTCCTAACGCCGAAATAAAATAAAGGTGATAAGAATGTTTTATTTAATTAATTTCTTTGAAGCTATTGCACCTCTTTAATAGATCAGTACAAAGAAAAGGTGCGAATATTTACGCGTGGCGTTTGACACGAAATTATGAATAGTGGCCCGCCTTTTATGATTCTTATACAGGTGTACTGTTGCAAAAGTATACACAAGTATATTTAAAGCAGTATTCCCGATAGCTAAATGGTTCGCGCGTTGGGGAGAAAAGAGAAAAAAAAGGCGCATTCACGTTGGCGACCTGGATTCAATCCTCCTTGTGATCAAAATTTTGAATCCCTTTTTAGTTCGATTATACAAGTTTTTTTCCTGAATCGGACGGAAGACCTCTCGTTGCTCGCAACGAGATCGTATCTAGTTAATTATCAAATTGAATTTAATTCAAGCTATATACTAGTAATATATAGTGAAATTTTTTCCTTGTGTAAAACCTAAAGTCTTGACTTAAGAGGATAAAAAAAAATTAAATTTGGTCAAGGATTACCTGATCAACATGTTGATAAACAAGCTAGATGTTTAGCTTTCTTTATATTTATGTAAAATTTCTAAACTTTCATTTCTTAATTGTTCTATTTATATCTTCCTTTTTTAAAAATCTATTGAGCTAATGTGATGTACCTATGTATTTGCAATTTAAGATTAAAATATAGAATTAAATACGTAAATGCAGATAAAATTTAGAGGTGTGTCTGTTTAATATCAATGGTTATACAAAATCTGTGTAGCTGTGATACAAGATAATTCACACAATGATATACAAGTGATTTGTTTTATTATTTCCAGCATTTCAAAGACTCTTATATAATGGACCCCAGATATTCTGCCCAGGACATCCTTAGATGTGACCTCTGTGAAGATAGAGTTGTACAAAATATGTATTGTATTTTATGTCCCATGAATCTGTGTAAGGATTGTGTGGTGGAACACACCTCTGATGCCTCTAAGAAACATGATGTGGTGCCTTTTGCTTTGAGAAGATCCAAACTTGTGTACCCTCAATGCAAAATTCATTCTGAAGAGAACTGTGAAATGCACTGTGAAGATTGCAATACTTCAGTCTGTCACAAATGTGTCATCTCTGAGAAACATAAGCGACATCATTTCAAAAGTCTACAGGACTTAGTAAATGTATCCTGTCCTCCAGTCAAACAACTGCTTGATGAACCAGAGCTCTTTGACACCATAGAAACTGAACAAACTGAACTATATGGGGTTTCCTGTCTAAGTGATGAAGAAATCTGGACATATGGGTATAACAAAACCATGAAACTCTACAACCTTTACGGCGACTTACTGAAGTCAATCCAAACAAAATCAGGAAACAATCCTCAGGACATAGCAGTGACAAGGAGTGGAGATCTAGTTTATACTGACCGTGGTACAAAAACTGTAAACATAGTGAAGAATGACCAGATACAGGAAGTGATCAGACTACAGGGGTGGAGACCTTATGGTGTCTGTAGTATATCCTCTGGTGACCTCCTGGTTACCATGGTCAGATATGATCATAAAGAATCAAAAGTTGTCCGTTACTCTGGCTCCACAGAGAAACAAACCATTCAGTTTGATGAAAAGGGTAAGCCACTGTATTCATCTGATTACAATAGTACTAAATACATTTGTGAGAATAGGAACCTGGATATCTGTGTGGCTGACTGTGGAGCCCATGCAGTAGTGGTGGTTAATCAGGCAGGAAAACTCCGATTTAGATACACTGGTCATCCCTCTACTACCAAAAAACCATTCTACCATTTCTTTACTAAGAAGGAATCATCAAATTTTGATCCATTGAGCATAACAACAGACAGCCAGAGTCAGATTCTGACAACAGACTTTGACAACAACCGTATTCACATCATAGGTCAGGATGGACAGTTCCTTCGTTACTTTGATACACGTAACTGTGAGCTACAGTTTCCATGGGGTTTATGTGTAGACTCCAGAGACAACCTCTTTGTGCCTGATTTTTATACTGGTGAAGTGAACATAATCAAATACATGTAGTCATGTGTGCTGAAAGAATGAATGTACTCAAGTACATAATCCATAATCTTTTTGGCTATCCATTTTAAACTTTAAATTACAAAATATTGCTTAATTAACCTAATATGATTATTGTGCATGTTTTTGAAATTTATGTCTTGAATTTTTTGTTATACATATTTCTATATTTACCATGATTATAAACAATGTCATTGAAAAGAAAACTTTTAAGCCTAAAAATCCAGAAATTTGAACAAACTTTTGTTTTTAAGGTATACACAAATAGGCAGAGGCATTTAAATCGCATGGATGTAAAATGTAAACATTAACACATGATTTATTTCACATACAGATTCTACGCTACAAATTTAAATGAGTTTAAGTCAAAATCTTGATTTTATTTGAATTTATTTAGAAAAATGAACAAGCTGTGGCTCAATGTAAACTATGTTGTTGAGATCTTCTGACAATTATTACAATAATGATGACATACATGTATGATGATAAACACCCAATTAAACTATTTTTTTCATTCTTTTATTATTGATATTCAGGGTATTGTTTTTCATCTTCATTCAATTTGATATAAACAAAATTAATTTAGTATTTCCTTCAAGAACTACATAAAAAATAGAACGAAGTCTGTTTCCAATATCTAAATTGTAATAGTTACTGACAGTTGCAATAATTATACTACAATTTCTTATAAAATTTACAGTCAATTCTAGATTGTTATATCGGTCTATTGCAACATTTATAATTCAAGATGGCCAGAAGTATGTGAACAAGATTGTGAAACTAGTTTAAGTCAGCATATTAATTATTACCGTAAATCTGGAAATTTTTGCGTCAATTTTATTTTGCGAATTCAGGTCAAAATGCTGTTGATTAATTTTTACGTTTCAAAATTTTGCGAATGACCACTGCTTTGTTTACATTTGCTTATTGGTGATTTATCTTTAAGAAAAATATTTTTGCGAATTCAATGCACTCGCAAATTTGCTAAAAATTTATCTACAGCAAAAATTTCCAGATTTACGGTATATACCGTAATTGTATTACGATTCATCTGTTCTATATTCTGAAAATGTTAGTCATGTTTTAATACATAGTGTACAGGCCTATTGCTAAATCTTTGTTGTGAAAAAAAAAATGTTGCTGAAAAAAATCACTTCTTTTTTAGTGAAAATTTCAAAGAATTTTTACAGTATGAGTAAAATATCTTTTTTTAATTGGGATTTGATTCCATTTCCGAAGAAGTTATGAACTGTTATACATATATACTTCAATGTAATGTTTTGTGGAATCTGTGAACCATCAAAGCAGAATTTTTAGCAAGGGTTCAATTTTGGTATTTTTAACAAAAGTTTTGAGATTACCCATTGAAAACTGAATATTGCTAATAATTCCTTCTGTATCAATGGTTATAGCAATTGGTGCTACAGCTTAAAATTTTGACAATATAAAATTGCTAAAATCACTTCTTGCTGAAAGTCTAATAAATCAATATTGGGGATAAATTGCTGCATTCACACTAAAAATTTCACTTAGAACAAAAGTACCTGTGTACCAAGAAAACAACAAAAATCACCCCCTCCCTTTGAAAATAATTAAGTGACTTCACAGAACAAAGTTTATTAAGCCTGTACCTTCAGTGATGAGTTCATCCAGTGACTCCTCCTCTTCCTCTGTCCTTCTCCAGAACCATCTGAACCACCCTTCCCCAGCCTCACCCACCTCCTGCCTTACCCTCCACCTTACCACTACACATACCTTCTGTTGTGAGTTCATCCAGTGACTCCTCTTCTTCTGTCCCTCCCCAGAACCAGCTGAACCACCCTCCCCCCACCTTCTTCTTCTCCTCCTGTCTCTTCTTCAGTTCTTCCTTCCTCCTCCTTTCTCTCTCTCCTGTTTCTTCTTTATACTGAATTTTAGAAAGGAAAAACATTTCAATAAGTATAAGATCTGTTTGTATATGGACACAATTTCCCTCAAGGCAATAAGCCCTGGAGCGAACTAATTATGACAATGATAATGCATACTGATGTTTCAAAGTAGCAAATATTTATATATTTCTATAATTAGAGTTAAATAGTCAAGCATATCATAATTACATGTCTATAAGTCAGAGCTAAAATTACATTATAATATTTTGTGGTTTTGGCCGTGGTTATCGGCCTGGATAGCTCAATAGGTAGAGCACCTGACTGGAGATACAGGGGTCCTGGGTTCGATTCCCGGTCCAACCCTTTTCCCTTCCTGTTACAGATTTGGTGTCGTTGACCACCCCTGGAATTGCAGGTGAAAGTCCTGCCAGAAGGTAATAAGAAGCTGGGTTGTGTCTTTAAGGCAAAGACCATTTAAGGAGGGAGGAATGTAATGGTTTGGGCCGTGGATATCGGCCTGGATAACTCAGTTGGTAGAGCACCTAACTCGATATGCAGGGTCCCTGTTTCTATTCCCAGTCCAGCCATACATTTTCTCCCTTCCTGTTACAATATTAAGCCCAATGTTTCCTGTGGTTTTAATCTCACATTTTCACAATACTTTTCAGTTAATCCAGGCACAAACAATTTTGGATCCTTGACCTCCTTCATGACCTTTGACCTTGATATTGTGATCATCTTACTACATTAGCCTTTGATTCATGTGAAAATAACACATTAGTTTTATTCACAAAAACATCAGTATCTTATTGACTTTCCTTTGAATGCTTTCCCCTTATGATCCTGTGGTTATTTTACCTTGAGTCTAGCCTCCGTCCTGGCCCTCAGTATGTTGGTGACGTCCATTGTTTTCTCCAGCTGTTCAACCTTCTGTTTAATTCCCTGGTCTTTGGGAGACTCCAGGTGTTGTTTGTACACCTGCCAGTATTTTACATAGTCTTGCCTACAAGTATTCAAACAGAAACATCATATTTCATCAATGACAATATGCCCATGAAATGTTTAGCAAATAGTAAGAAACTACATTATATATGGTTTTATATCTGATATCATTTTAACACAAAACAAGATTCAAGTGTGTAGACTTAAAAGATTTATAGTTTATTTTAAAATCTTGACAATAAGGACACCTTTTTCTCAAAACCATTCTGAATTTGAAGACTATTACTACATAAACATTCTAAATGAAATTTATGTTTTGCATAACAATAACTTTTGAAGAAATTAATGTTTCTGGGACCAAAGATTTTCTAATTAATTATTATTTTTTCAATTTATTCCATCAACTTGACATTTTCCCTTCTAATGATTTTTCTTGATCTCATATAAATGTACATCAGTTTGTGTAGACAACTTAAAAAGCAAAAAGATCTAGACTCACTTGTACTGGACTATCTGAGGCCATGTGTATGGTTTGATATTAAACTCCACGATTGAGTCATAGGCATATCTCCACCAGGACTTTGGACTCTTCTTCACAGATACTGTGGGGCGGAATTTCCTGTATCGTCGATTCACTTCCAGCCTTTTGGAAAATTCCAGCCATCTTGTGACACTCAAATACTGCAAGATCAGAGAATAGATTCACATTTAATGCAGCTTAGGTGTGCAAGAAATCTGAATTGATTTCTATTAATCATGTAATGGAAAAAAAGTTCCATCTTGAAAGTGTCAGTCAAACCAATGACATATTGCATGCAGTTCAATCTGCTGCAAGCAGAACAGTTTATAATACAGTAAAACATGCTTAAAGCGAACTGCCAGGGATGAGCAGGGAACATACCTGTTTGTGTGACAGGATTTACCAGTTTAATGTACTGCCATTTGATTTTGAGAGAATGATTCAATCTGTTTACGTACCTGTTTATGTGACACCTTGGCGGTAGCGTCCCCTATAGATAACTGTATATACAGCCTAGGCATCTTATAGTCGTCCACGTTATACAGAATAACCTTGGCCTCAGCAGTAAATGGAGTCAGCACTAGATAACCAAGAGGAGAAAATAAAATACATGTACAACAGAAGTGTGGAACAATATTTATAAAGTATGCCTTAAGTAAAACTTTGATAACATTTATTCAATGTGACAAAGAGAAACCTTCAAGATATTCAAGAATATAAAATATTGAGTTCAAAATATATTTATAAGAAAATCAATAGTGGATGTGACTTTCATCTTTTTTTGGCATGGTATTTCAGATACATGTATCAATGTGTGCTCCTGCAAACTAACATTTATTTGCACGCCAGAAATAATTGAACCTCTTTTAATAATTTCTTGCTATTGATGTCATTACACTAATCATAAGAAAAAGAATTACCTGAGGAAAATTTGTCTTTTGAAATCATCTTAGACCTAATGGATTGCTTCAACAGACTCTGTAGATATAACAAGAGGCCCAAGTGCCTTATAGGTCACCTGAGCATTATGCAACAACTTACCAGTTATTGCATGTGATTCATGTTTTAAGCCAGATGCTATATGGCATTCACAATTTTGAAAGAGGCACCATTGATCATCATAACAATACATTTAGCAATTGCTTAGCTTGGTTACTGAATACCCATGCGCAGGGTAGGGGAACAAAAAAGCATTCCATCTAATCAGTAATATTCAGCAATAAATAGTAGTGCCCCTATCACTGTGACATAAACCCCTGATCCTAGGTCCACACATTGCACAAATTTTAAAAAGGCACCCTTAAAATTGCCTATCAAAAAATAAATAAATGTTTTATAAATACAAAGGAGCAGATTTCAAACAATAAATTCATTTTCAGTTTATAAGTAGAGCACCCCCCCCCCCCAACCCTTGAACCTGAGGCCATGAAATTTACAATTCTGCAAGATTAAGGCTCTTGCTCATCATAACTACTGTATATAGGTAGTGCTTCATACCCAGGGACAGAGAAGAAAATTTTCAAAGATTTAATGTACTGTAAACGTGGTTATATTGACGAGTTGAAAAATTGATGACTTTTTGTTTATGAAAATTGACGAGTGTTAATTTTGACAAAATATTTAATCAAGAGTTAAGTATCTTTGAATTCTCGGGGATACAAAGGCAGCGTCGGAATCACTAAAATTTAATTTTTGTACAGACAACTAGTGTCTACAGTGTGTAAGATTGTACAAACTATTTAAGTGTGAAAGATTTGATTAAATAAATTGACCTCTTGTAATTTGTTTTAATTATAAGCAGTAAAACACGGCGTGATAATTAGGCTAAGTTACGCAAGCAGTGTTTGATACACTAGTTTAGATTTAATGTTTTTTTTTTAAATGTGATTATATATAACTCTATGTATTCATAACTAAATACAAAAGAAATTAACAGTAACTTTGATCTAGATTTAATACGGGAAAGCCGGGAAAATTAAGCGTATTGTTGTACAATAGTCTATGTATGTTGTGACGCTATATATATGATGCGAAATTTAACGAGTGTAAATTTTGATGAGGAAAGAAAAATCGTCAAAATTAGAACATTGTCAAAATTTCCACGTTTACAGTATTTTCATTATATAGTCAATAGAGCCCCACCCTAACACCAGAACTCCTGACCCTGGGGCCATAAAATTCACAATTTTAGAAGAGGAATTCTTGCTCATCATAACTATGCACTTAGTTAGTTTATTTAATACTTAGGAGCAGAGAAGAAGATATTCAAAGAAATCATGTATTTTCACTATATAATCTATAGAGCCCCGCCCTAACACCAGAACCCCTGACCCTGGGACCATAATATTCACAATTTTGGTTGAGACACTCTTGCTCATCATAACTATGCACTTAGTTAGTTTATTTATTACCTAGGAGCAGAGAAGAAGATTTTCAAAGATTTAATGTATTTTCACTATATTATCAATAGAGCCCCTCCCCCAAAAAAACCAGAACCCTTGACCCTGGGGCCATAAAATTCACAATTTTGGTTGATGCACTCTTGCTCATCATAACTATGCACTTAGTTAGTTTATTTAATACCTAGGAGCAGAGAAGAAGATTTTCAAAGAAATCGTGTATTTTCACTTTATAATCAATAGAGCCCCACCTCCAACACCAGAACCCTTGACCCTGGGGCCATTAAATTCACAATTTTGGTAGAGACACTCTTGCTCATCATAACTATGCACTTAGTTAGTTTATTTAATACTTAGGAGCAGAGAAGAAGATATTCAAAGAAATCATGTATTTTCACTATATAATCCATAGAGCCCCCCCCAAAAAAAAACAGAACCCTTGACCCTGGGGCCATAAATTTTACAATTTTGGTAGAGGCACTCTTGCTAATCATAAACATGCACTTAGTTAGTTTATTTAATACCTAGGAGCAGAGAAGAAGATTTTCAAAGAAATCATGTATTTTCACTTATATATAATCAATAGAGCCCCGCCCTAACACCAGAACCCCTGACCCTGGGGCTATAAAATTCACAATTTTGGTAGAGGCACTCTTTCTCATCATAACTATGTACTTAGTTGGTTTATTTAATACCCAGGAGCAGAGAAGAAGACTTTCAAAGAAATAATGCATTTTCACTATATACTTATTTAGCCCCGCCCTAGCACTTGAACCCCTGACCCCAGGGCCATGAATTTCACAATTTTGGTAGAGGACTCAATGCTGATTACAATCATGCAAACAGTTTGACTGCTTGATGTCCAGGAGTAAAGAAGAAGATTTTTAAAGATTGCATTAATTTTAAAGGTTTTGGCCCCACCCCTCAGGCCCCAGGGGGGCAGGGATCATGAAATTCACAATTTTTGTTCCCCTTCACCCATAGATGCTTTGTGCCAATTTTGGTTGAAATTGGTTCAGTGGTTGCAGTGAAGAAACTGAAAATGTCCAAATGTTAACACACGAGGCACGACGCATGACGGACGACGACGGACAAAAACGGATAGCAATAGGTCACCTGAGTTTACTCAAGTGACCTAAAATATTATGGCCATGGATTGTGTATCATTTATTATACATGTACTAAGTAAAAATTACACAATAAATTAAACATTAGGCAATGTATACAATATGATATATTACTTTAAAGATTTTTCACAAAAAAATAAACACAGAAATAACATCTCACTGCATGCCCTGTAAGTCTTGAACACTGAAAATTACAAACCCTTACCTTCCAATCACCCGACTGAACAAGATTTTCTCCTCCCACAAGATCACTACTACCGAGCCGTGAATTCCAATACAGGGAAAAATCTGACACCTTACCCAGCTGTAAAACAACAAAAATCAAATATCATTATAAGCACTGCGTGCATATGAAATTTTTGAAGCTCTGTAGGATTTAAGGATGTACAGGGTACCTGTAAAGTGTGAAACGAAATAGAAACGAAACGAACTGAAACGAAACGAAATCTGCCGAAACGAAACGAAATCTACCGAAATGAAACGGAACCTACCGAAACGAAACGGAATCAACACGAAACGAAACGAAATCAAAACGAAACCTGCCGAAACGAAACAAAACTATCAAAATATTTTTTTTTTTTAAATTAAGGTACATGTATATAATTCTTTATATGTGTAACTGCATGTGGACTTTTATTTTACTTCAAATAAAATTTATATAGTTCAAGCACTTGTTAACATAAAAATAATTTAATTACTGATTATGCACCCTTCTCAGATAAATGATGTATTTACATGTTTGCCAGCTGCAAATATGCACGAGCGTACTATACATGTATAATTTCAATAATTTTTATAACTTACTCTTATTTTCAGTCTTTTTATCTATCAAAATTGATGTGTTACATGTAAAGGCTCGTTTTTGTACGGGTCGAAATAAAGTCAATTTACTGTTGTATTGCGAATGTCTTATAACATAGGATAAACCAGAGACTTAGAGTATTAATATTCCATTCCGAGGTGTCTGGTTTTTCCGTTCAATTATACATGCAACTCCAACCGGAATCTTGTGTATCCTTTCTACGTACATACGGTCATATTTTTATCGAGGTAATTTTCGAGAAAGAAATGAGTGGTTTACAATAAAGAGGCTTTACCAGAGACGTCTAAAATGATTTAACTGACAAGAAAAAAGTCTCAAAGCAAACGATGTCACTCTTGTAGTAAATTATTCAGTAAGACATTAACAAAATATGACATAGGCGTCGGAAGCGGGATGGGGGTGGTTGGGTAAGCCCCCCCCCCCCATTTTTTGGCAAAGATATATATTAATATATAGGCATTGAAAACTGGGGTTTACCTTGTTCTTTAACCCCCACTTTCAATTTCCTTCCGACACCTATGTATGAACTTGAAGCGAAACAATAGCCTGTGGTGCTTGAACTATATAAATTTCATATGAAGTAAAAATAGACCATATAAACATTCTGAAAGTTTTGTTTCTTTTCGTTTCGGTAGGTTTCGTTTTGATTTCGTTTCATCTTGATTTCGTTTCGTTTGGATAGGTTCTGTTTCTTTTCGGAAGATTTCGTTTCGTTTTGGCAGATTTCATTTCGTTTCAGTTCGTTTCGTTTCGTTTTGTTTCTATTTCGTTTCGCACTTTACAGGTACCTAGGATGTACAACACACCTACCCCGAAAAATTCCTGTCATTTAATTTTTGCTATTTTTGTATATTTACTACATGACTATTCTACTTTGTGTATGTACATTTTGGACAAAATCGTTAGAGTGTTTGTGTAAGATTTTTACTACACACATAATGTTACCTTGTGTAAGATTTTTACTACACACATAATGTTACCTTGTGTAAGATTTTTACTATACACATGATGTTACCTTGTGTAAGATTTTTACTATACACATGATGTTACCTTGTGTAGGATTTTGGCCGTGCTGTCTAGCTCCACCTCCTCCCATCTGTCGTTTGTCGTAAATACATACAGCCCTCCCAGAATTCCCCCCGCAGCAAACGGAGTGCCGGGGTTTGACACTGTATCCTCGTATCTAATGTGTACATTACTTATTTTTATCTGAAAGAAAGAAATATATATAATTATACATTAATTTAGATAAAATATTGGAGTTGAACATTTAAATTCCATTTTTGAATGTTAAAATGTAAAACAATATAAATACTTGCACTCCATCCATGTACAAGATTATAACTAATCTGGTATAATAGTTCAATTATTCAAATGCAAAAAGTAACATTGCAGAATTATTGCCAAAACTTTTATATGTTTAGGACTGCTTTCTTTAAATAACTGTACATACCTGAATGTTGTTCAGTATGTATTTTCCAATCTTTTCAAACAGACCAGGGTGTTTCTCGGCCTCCTTAGCTGCAAATAAAATTTTGAATTTTAAATGATAAGTTCATACATAAAGTTAACATAATTTAGATATTAAATGAAATTTTTATACTTTCATATGACACGATTGATGTAATTTTTCTAAGTAAACTCAGACTAAGGAACCTGTGCCTGGTGCAATCTCAGTTTGAGAAGGAGCTGACAACTCCAAACTTAAGTAGTCAGTGATACAGATTTTCTGCTGGACTGAGGGAACCAGTAAACGGCCTGTTTGATATAACTGTTTTTAGTGATACTCACAAACTTTCAGTGGGAGTGAACTATACAGTGCCTTCAGTGCTCCAAGTTGCGACTAAAATGGTCGCATTTGCGACCAAAAAATTGATTTTGCGACTAGAAATGAAAACACACTCGCATTTTCGCGACTGAGAAAATTTGGGCTGGAAACGTCCAATTTTTAAGATCGGGATCTATTTCATTTGTAAAGATTCTCTATCAAGAAAATGTTTGAAGACATATACTTAAATACACTTTACAAAGCGTTGCATGGACTTGGATCACATAATGTTATGATGGCTTGCTGTACAAAGTTTGATAGAACCTGAACCAGAGACGTGGACAAATAATGTTCCTGATAGAATGGCATCTAAACTTCGTACACTTTCAAAGATCCAATCTTGTTATTGAAGCATTTGATCAATTGCTTGCATATCATAATGAATCATGGTTGTATTATTATGCTAATAAAGATCAGTGTTTTGGCGGCATTTATAATGACTGTGTAATGGGTTAGGTACGTAGTAGTAAGTAGACATGACAAACAGCAGACAAGGTTCTGTCTCAACAGCTGTCAAGCTTGTATTTTCATTTGATAAAATTTTATTTCTGTAATTAGATTACTTGTTTTCTTCTGTACAACCATAAGGGTACATGTGTTCAATAAAAATTTGTCATTCAACCTAGCAAATTTTTATGGTCACAGTAATAAGCAATCTATGATATAATAAAGACATAATACATATCCTTATTTAAATTATCAAGTTTTATTCACAAAATGTATTTTTTTTATGGCGAGTGAAATATTTGATTATGGCGACCAGAAATTCTGAAATGGCGACCAAAAAAATTTTTAGGTGGCAATTTGGCGACCTGAGAGCAAGTGTGACTTGGAGCACTGGCCTTGAGCATAACCTGTTTGAGTTGATCATTGTGAGCAATACTTGCAGACTTTCTATTAGACTAAATCCAGTGCCTTGAGCATAACAGTTTGAGTGAACTATCGAGTAATACTTTCAGACTTTCTGAAGGACTTAAGGATTTAGTGAATTGAGCATTGTCTATTTGAGTTAACTCCTTTGAGTTATACTTGCAGACTTTTTGTAGGACTGAAGGACCCAGTGCCTTAAGCACAGTTTATTTGAGTAAACTATTCTGTCTGAGTAATACATGATTTCACAAACTAAGTTAACTAATCTGAGTGATACTCACAGAATTTCTGTAGGACTAAATGATCTTGTGCCTTGAACACGTACAGCCTATTTGAGTTAACTCTTTTAAGTGATACTCTCAGACTTTCTGCAGGACTGAAGGATCTAATGCCTTGACCATTGCCTGTTTGAGTTCATTCTGAGTGATACTCACAGATTCTGAGTGATACTCACAGACTTTCTAAAGGACTGATGGATCCAGTGACTTGAGCATGGCCTGTTTGATTTAACTGAGTTATAATCACAGACATTCTGAAGGACTGAGAGATCCGGTGCCTTGAGCATGGCCTGTTTGAGATAACTGAATGATACTCACAGACTTTCTGTAGGACTGAGGGATCCAGTGACTTGAGCATGGCCTGTTTGAGTTAACTGAGTGATACTCACAGACTTTCTGTAGGACTGAGGGATCTAGTGCCTTGAGCATGGCCTGTTTGAGTTAACTGAGTGACACTCACAGACTTTCTGAAGGACTGAGGGATCCAGTGACTTGAGCATGGCCTGTTTGAGTTAACTGAGTGATACTCAGAGACTTTCTGTAGGACTGAGGGATCTAGTGCCTTGAGCATGGCCTGTTGCATTAATTGAGTGATACTCACAGACTTTCTGTAGGACTGAGGGATCCAGTGACTTGAGCATGGCCTGTTTGAGTTAACTGAGTGATACTCACAGACTTTCTGTAGCAATGAGGGATCTAGTGCCTTGAGCATGGCCTGTTTGAGTGATACTCACAAACTTTCTGTAGGACTGAGGGATCTAGTGCCTTGAGCATGGCCTGTTGCATTAATTGAGTGATACTCACAGACTTTCTGTAGGACTGAGGGATCCAGTGACTTGAGCATGGCCTGTTTGAGTTAATTGAGTGATACTCACAGACTTTCTGTAGCAATGAGGGATCTAGTGCCTTGAGCATGGCCTGTTTGAGTTAACTTAGTGATACTTACAGACTTTCTGAAAGACGGAGGGATCCAGTGACTTGAGCATGGCCTGTTTGAGTTAACTGAGTGATACTCACAGACTTTCTGTAGGACTGAGGGATCCAGTGACTTGAGCATGGCCTGTTTGAGTGATACTCACAGACTTTCTGTAGGACTGAGGGATCCAGTGACTTGAGCATGGCCTGTTCGAGTTAACTGAGTGATATTCACAGACTTTCTGTAGCACTGAGGGATCTAGTGCCTTGAGCATGGCCTGTTTGAGTGATACTCACAAACTTTCTGTAGGACTGAGGGATCTAGTGCCTTGAGCATGGCCTGTTGCATTAATTGAGTGATACTCACAGACTTTCTGTAGGACTGAGGGATCCAGTGACTTGAGCATGGCCTGTTTGAGTTTCTGCTCCATCTCCTCTACTGTCTGTTTGTTGTAGGAGTCCATGGTAACCGGACTCAGTAGAATATAAAGTCCGTCCAGCTCCAGGCGGACTTCTGTCCCTCCAAATAGATTCCCCCATGGTATTGAGAGACGAATGTAGTCTGTTAAATTGGTAAATATATCTAATGGGTTTTTTTAACAGAATTTTTACTTAATGTGTGAGTGACAAAAATATACAGCTATCAATACTTATCATAAAGCATTTACCTAAGTGTCCTACTTTCACCTCAAATGCTTGTTCCTTGCCAAACTAAAAAAGAAAAAAATAACTAACTTGTTTTGTTTCATGAATTCATTATAGCCTAAAATATAACAAGTACTTTAAAAGTATAGTATTACTTTATAAAAGATAAATGTACTGAAGTTAGTTCAATTGCCATTTTAATATGAACTCTGCAAGTTTTTTTTTTTAGTGTTCTTTGATCATAGTCCAGATGAAAATTTTATAATCTTGTTTTTTTATAGAGTCATGGTACATAAAATCATATTTTTATTCATACCTGTAGTGTAAGAAAGTCAGTCTAAAAAGAAAGAGATTAATATATAAAATTAAACAGAATTCATGAAATCTCTAAAAATAAAAATGTTGTTATATGGTGTACTGAGGAAGAAAAATAGCAATTTAAATAAATGATTTTACATGATTGTATACAGCAAAACTCGGTTATAACAAAGTCACTGGGACCTATGAAATTTTTTTGTCATATCTGTAATCCATTTTAACCGTATAAGAAATTCATTAAATTTATATAGCTGGGGATCAAAGATGACTTCGCTATACCCGTAATTTGTTATAACCGCATAAGAAATTCATTAAATTTATATAGCTGGGGATCCAAGATGACTTTGCTATATCCGTAAATTCGCAATATCCGTGTTCATACTAAACGAGTTTTACTGTAGTTAACATTTTGATTGACATTTTGTTTGACAGATTAAAATTTTTTCACAAGTAAAATGCTTAACATATCATAATCATGCATGGTTGTTACTTCACAGTCAAAGCATGTAGAGAAATGTATTATTATGATTATGATGAAATGAAAATGGAGCAATTTAAATGAACTTAATGCAAAATATCATTGTAAAATGTAAGATGAAAATGACATATATTTTCAATACCTACCACTGCTCTGGGTTTCAGAACCAAATCTTTGAGTTCAACATTACCTTAAAGAAAAAAATATTTATTTTTTATTAAGCATGCACATTTTCAGCATTTAAATTTCTTTCAAAATATTAAATTTACCAAAATTTATGTTCAGATTTTGAATAAATATATACTACATTTATTCTTTCTTTTCATTACAGCAAAACATTGTTATCATAAAGGGTTATGAGATGGTAATTTATAAATTTAAATATCTCTTCGAGAATCTTGGATCCACCTCAGAGTCTGTACAATCATATACACATAACTTACCCCCTAAGACACTATATTTCAGGTTATCATGATTGATGTTCTCCACAAACTCGCCAATATACTCGTTAATTAAATTAACCAGTCGATCCTTAATCATGGCACTCTGCTAAGATATACAACTGCTCCTGACTGAAACATAAGTTAAAAGCCATGATCATAACATAATTTAGGTACAGTGTACTATGTATGTGAAATAACAACCATTTCTATTTTTGACTTTAACCTTTACACAAAACCTACATATCTGCACATTTCAATTTTCTATGAACTTTACTTTCACTTATGTGTAGGTCAAATTAAATTTTTTTTTATCTAAATTGTTGCCCATGTAAAATTACAATTAGTACGAACAAGTACCATATGCGACACAGGGGGAAATAGCTATAAGCAATGTAACATAAGAAAGTAAAGATGCTGACAATTGATAAAATCGATCGACTTACAAATGTAACCTATCTTCAACAATATTTACTTTTATCAATTATCTTAATCAGTAAAGAGGATCAATATTAAATGCTAGTAAAATCATTTAAGTTGGAACACTGCCATTTCTCTACAGTAAGAAAATCAACTAACTTTCAATTACCATAGTCAAAATAATCTTTTTTTTAAATGTACACCATCAACTTGAGTCATACCAAAGGGGAAAAATAAATTCTACAAAAACAAAATAATAATAATTAACAGCTGTTATCATTATAAGCCATGAGTTTTAGAAATAGGAAGGACACAAAACCAATGGCTTAGCTTGCAATGAAGAAGTGTTTTGTAATTTCATCAATCTTTATGTCACGTACGTACTAGAAATAATTTGTTAGTTTCTCCTACAGTTCAATTTCAATATGAATTTTTGACAAATGAAGGCTAACCTGACAGTTAAGTCTTTCCTGTACATGTAATGATGTATATACAAAATATGAAGTCCTGACAGTCAAAAAACAACAACTGATAACAGTGCTCTATAATTATAGGGGCTGATGTCATTTCATATCAATTGGATCTTGTGCACTATGAAAACTCTTTAGTACATTAATTATGCAATCAGCAAAGATAATCAAATTTTTTTATCATAATTTGGCAAGTGTACAAATATACCAATGGCAATGGTTATTATTTCTTACTTTCACTTTACACACATCACAGGAAAAATCAATTAGGGTGCAATAATTTCATCGCTTTTACATTATCTATTTACAGAAAAGTATAACATACATTTCTTTTTAGTTGTCATGAATTATAATTTATGCATTCTTGGTGGATCGCCAGCATTTGCAATATTGGCTAGCAACAAACCCCTAAAACGTCGTCTGTTGCAAGAACGACAAATGCAGAAAAAATGTCAGCGATGCATAGAAGCGTGTTCTGCAATAAAATCTGAAAGTACAACAAAAAGAGACCTGTCAGCAAAACACACGTTCTCCTCGTCCAAGGAACAGCTGCAGTCATCTTCAGTTTATATAAAAATCAATGAGAAAATCTGATCGACAGCCGAAGTCAATTTTCAAACAAATCGTACCTGGAATTAGTCGTTCTGTAAAATTGACCCGATATTTGACAAGTCGTACAATATATCAAACTAGATTTTCACTCAAATCATTAGGCCATTAAAAAACAATTCGCAATGAAATTAAGAGTTTGCCGTTTGCGGTCTGCTTCGCTCTCACTTTTTTTTCATGGGTGGATCTGGAAGGGGAGGAAGAGAGGGGCATATTCTACATGTAATTCAGTAATTGAGGATGTCTCACTCCATATCAATAACTTTGCCATTCTTAATTAAGAAAAGGATTTTTTTTTCTTAAGTAAAACTTTGCCGCCCAAGTGTGGCCCCACCCTTACCTGGGGCTATGATTTGCACAAAAATCATTATAAATCTCACTAATCATGGATTGTAGTATTCTTGTAAAGCAGATTTATAAAAAGATTTTTTTTTCATATTTCTATGTAAAATTTCATTGCGCAGCCCCAGCCTATACCCACGGCTGTCATGATCTGAACAATCAACTTCAGGATGCATCCATGTAAATATCACCAATCAAAGCTTTTCTTTTCTTGAGAAGAAGATTTTGTAAAGATTTTTCCTTTATTATAATTCCTATATATGTAAAACTTTGATCGGGCATTGTAGGACCCACCCTACCCTAGGTGGTCATGATTTGAACAAATTTGAATTTATCCTTCCTGAGGATACTTCCAATTGAGTTTCATCTTTCTTGGCCAAGCGGTTCTTGAGAAGCTGATTTTTAAAAGATGCCATCAATGTTTGACTAATTCATAATTATCTCCCCTTGAAAGACAACATGTAACCCTTCATTTGAAGAAACTTGAATCCCCTTCATCCAAGGTTACTTTGTGTCAGTCACATTTGGTTGAAATTGGCCCAGTGGTTCTTGAATAGAAAATGGAAACGTGAAAATTTTACGACGACGACAACAACGACAATTAACGAGGGAAAACGGTCATTTTTATCAGAAAAGTCTACTTGAGCCCCCCCTTCTCTCTGAAAATATGATCCCGTTAAAAACGATACAGAGTATTACATGTATAATATATCAATGTATTATCTATTAAAAGAAAATTATCTATTATAGGAAAGAGTTGTTGTCTTACACCCTACCATCCACCCAACCCAACCACCACCCTCCATCCCCAACCCCCCACGTACACACCCTCACACACAAACCCTCACTCACAGGAAAAAGACGGGTTTTCGTTTTTAGGATAGTTGCATGTTTCAAAGGTAAGGTTTGTGGTTTTAAAAGGCTACAATCAAATATATACGAGCGTATATGCATGGATATTGAAAAACAAAGGAGTAAATAAAAGAGTTTTATTTCAAACTCTGAAGGACCTTGACCTTAATTTCAAGGTCAAAAGTTAACTCTTGGAAGGGTCAAAGATCATTTACGCAAGGTCAACTGCAAAAATATCTTAATTTTTTCATAGGCTATAGAACTTTTCGATAAAATATCTTGAAACTCAAAAACATAAGGCGGCTCAAAGCAATAATAATCTCAAACATGCTGAACAATTTCATTTTTTCCACAGAAAGGTCGAAAGACCTAATTATCACATTCGTGGCTGTACAAATTTAAAATCTGTAATTGAAATATGAATTCGATGAAAACAGAATTTAAATTTAGAATTTATTTAATATGTGCACCATCATTCACATTATAACAAACTCCTGCTGTATTGTGTATAATATATTCAGTAGTTGTGCGCAGATACTCGGATTAACAAGTTCATGTCCTACATTAAACCTAGACTTCCATATCTTAAAATGTCAGTAACCTCCGGTATTTCTTCCCGTTTAAATTCCCTTCTCGAATAACATGTTAAAGTACAAAACGGAATAAATATGTATGTTCAGTAGTCAGTACCTACAGTTGTAGATGGATGACCTGGGTAACTTTATTATAGTACAAGGAAGCTTTAAGAGGAATGAAGGGGGTGATATAGCGGCAGATGTATTATAATAACATGTTACTATCTTAAAGTAAACGGGAAAAAAATATGTACGAGCAGTGCCTGGGTAAATGACCTTCTGGGTAATGTTAATAGCATAAACGGTAGAACATGTAGGGGAATGAATGAGAGTGGTGCGCGATGATAAAGGGGAATTAAAACAAGATCGACTTCCTTAAATTGATCTACGTAATATGTATACTTAGTACATGTATGAATGACTTATAGGAGTCCGCGTTTATATATGGCGATGTGGTGATATTCTGAGATCGTGATTTGTTTACAATTTTAAATCTTTGAAAATCCCGAAGAGGGGGGAGGGGGGGGCACCCCCACACCCTAGATCCGCGCATGCTACAAAATAAAAATATTTATTAACTCTAACCATTTAAATGTTTTTGCAATATTAAGGACCCTCTCTACACTGCACCCTAATTTCAGGGTACTTGCGTGTAGTTAGACTGACCCACCATTTGACATAAAAAAGAATGAATTGTAATCTGCACTGTATGACAAAATTTTAAATAAATCCATGTATTCTAAACATTATATTAGACCAAGATAAAGTAATTGAAAACTTTATTTGCATGTATTTTCTCCATTTGAATAATCAAAAGAAATTTTTCTTTGTCATTACTTCACTGTCTTCAAAAATTTTTCCTGGTTAAAGAGGGCACGCTCCCTATATTAGAAATGGATTAGTTTATTTCAAAATAGCCTCAATTACACTATATAATTTTCTCTCAGTCCAAAAAACATTTTTCGTCAGTGTATAGAGGGTTCTTAAACTGCATGTATCCATTTCCAATTTCATGAAAGACAAAAATCATGCAGATTATACTTAAAATATGCATTCATGAAGAAAGTAAGCTAAAAAATTATATTGATTGATATATTACCTTACTTAACTAATTGAAGTAATTCCTTCTACCTAATCAAAACAAACTAAGATGTCCTGCAATGAACGTGCCATGATACCCGTAATATTTTAGAAGAGATGACTGCAATATACGACATACATCAAATGTAGCTTCTTCATCCAACACACTACACAGGAAAATATATTATGTCAGTACCGCAAACTGGTAAACTTCATGGGCTGTGTGCATTTGAATAAGCTTATTCATTCTCATTTTCATGAAAACATGTGATCCTACACACTATTTCCTTCAGGTTTTAATCGATGGCTCACAACTCACGTGAAATCCTTTGAACAAAAAATAGTAAAGCTCTTCAATCTAAGTGGTATTACATCCTTCATGTCCTTTGATCCGCTCCAGTAGATCGCTACTTTTGCGTAGTATTCTATTGGAGCGGATCAAAGGATTAAATTTATTATAATTTCCTGCTAACATAATGAAGGTAAAGTACATATACACTGAATACATAATTTTGCAGGCTTAAGATAAGATAAGATAAGATAATTTTATTTCCAATTTTGGGCCCAGAAGGCATAAAGGTTTCTTACAATGACAAGATAGAAAGTTCTAAAAGAAAGGTTATAGTAAACATATACAAACATAAACACACATACACACACATGTATATATCTGATATAATATTACAAGTAACTGGACATGTAGATGCAGCAGTTGGGGTTATCAAATTGTAAATTAACATGCAATCAAAATCAATATTATCAATATACATATATACCAGTTTACAAATAAATATGTGTCTATAACATTATTTATGAAAACTCATGGCATTATGCCTTATTTTGAAGGCTTTGACAAGATATTCACTTAGCTTTGTTATAATTAGATTATCTTCGTTAGACATTAACCAGAGAAATTTGTCTCCTTTTGATAATAATATGAAATTTTTGTTTAGTGATGAGATATCACGAAAAAATTTATCTCTCTCCTCAGTATATAATGGGCATTCAGTAAGAAAATGATATTAATCTTCTATATTGTTTTGGTTACACATTAAACATATTCTTTTGTTTCTATCTAAGGGGATTCTTTGACCAGCATTATCTTTTACAGATTCATATCTGCCTTTTTCAATTCTTAGGTCATGAGCACTTATTCTAAATCTGCAAATGGATTTTCTTATTTCATGAGATTTAATGTACATATATTTTTCCATTATAAAATTTTCTTTAAACATAAAATAAGTAGTAAGTTTTCCAGATTTCAGTCCCTCTTCACGTTTCATTTTCCAGTATTGTAGGAAGTGTTTTTTCAAATGTTTCTTAACTTGTTTTTTTTAAAATGTGTTTTTGTATGTTTTACATTCTGGTAATGAGAGATTAATTTTCTTACTATAATAAATTACATTTTTGTACCAGCAGTTAATATTGCCTTGACTAAGGTTAATATTTTCTGTATATGCTTTATGTAATAGGGAAGATTCTGGACTTGATTGCAACCTATGCCAGTATAATAAGATGTTTTGAATAATTGAAAAATACATAGGGTATCTTCCCAGTTCAGTAATTATTGCAATATTAGTACTTTTCTTCCCAGCTTCCAATAGATATTTACAAAATTTGATATTTAAGCTTTCTGCCTCCCACTCTTTAATTGATTGATTGTATATTGTTTAACGTCCCTCTTGAGAATTTTTCACTCATATGGAGACGTCACCGATGCCGGTGAAGGGCTTTAAATTTAGACCTATACTCGGCACTCAGGGCCATTGAGCAGTGAGGGTTCTTTATCGTGCCAACGCCTACCGTGACACGGGACCTACGTTTTTAAGGTCATATCCGAAAGACCCGTGACTTTCACTTCTAGTGCCGAGCGCTTGGCGAAGGAACAGTCACTACCTTTGTTTACGTCTTAGGTATGACGCGGCGCCGCGATCGAGAATCGAACCCGGGCCTCCCGATCACGAAGCGAACGCTCTACCACTAGGCTACCGTGACCGGTTCCCACTCTTTAAAAATATCGTATAAATGTTTG